GCCCAATTTTCCTCTCTTTGTATCTCAACTATGTACATTAGGTGATTCCTGCCAATTAATGCAGGATGTCACATCCCCAATTGCTTCTCTATATTCTTAAACATTAAAAATAAATACGTGCCATCTGTCTCATATCTTGAAAGCAATTCAGAATAGTTACTTTTGTTTTCTTAGGATTATAACGTGGTTTATAACTTGAGTGTTTCTGAATTGTAAAAAATCTTGTCTCCATTTCATGAGAGTAACATGATTTTAAGGTGAATCCTGCAGATTGAACAAAGCCTTTCCTGAGAAGTTGGGCAAGGCAGAAAACAATGTAGGGTGATGGTTAAAAACTGGACCAGAACACTGAGACTGCTGCTTCCCAGCTGAGTGGCCTCAGCAAAGTGGCAGGATCTCCTGAAGTCTCAATTTTCCTTATCTGGGAAATGGTTCTAACACCTACTATCTAGAGTACCACGTATCCACATGTATATGTGAAAATATATGGGGGGAGGGGTGAGCCTCCCAATTTCCGACTGAGGCCTAAGATGTAGGTAGTAGATATTACTATCTTTATCAACTTCACTTGCCTCCATTGTTTTCTGAGCATATCCCACAACTTGAATATGGAATGGGATTGGTGAGTTGGGGAAACTCATAAGACTTTGGATCCTCTTATGGCTATAATGACACTTTTGAAAGAAGTTTAATTTTTAAAAATGCATACTATATAGCATCAAATGCCTGAATAACTTAAAGGGTAAAAGGGCAGTTGGAGAGGGTTCTATTTTTCCATTTTTAGAGTAAATTTCTTTAACAATACCTTCTCCTATAGCACAAAATTTTTTTTTTCTAGATCTGAGCCAAGCAGTCTGAAGACATGACCATGTAATTTGAAGTCCACCCTATACTCACAGACCACAGAATTGCAGTGCCATAAAGATGCTAGATACATGTGACCTAGCCCATACTATTTTAGCAATAAGCAAACTGAGGCCCAACATACCTCGGCAAAATGTTCTAGAAGCATACAGCTTATTATAGCAGGAATATTTCTTTCCTTGTAGCTAGCTTTTCAAAAATTTGTTAAGCAGACTGAAATTTTTTATACTTCTATAAATATCCTAAGTTTGCAGCTGATTCTTCAGAGCCTTATTTGAACATAACTGAGCTGTTCAGCATAGACTTTGCATGACAAAGCGGTCAAGTCTTAATAGTAACTGGGAATGCATTATCAAGACTTTATTTAGACTGTACAGTCAGGGCAATCCAACCGTTAGTCATCCCGACATATGCTTTGGAATGAAACACACCCATGAGTTCTGACAAAAAATGTCATCTGTTCCCTGTGCCCTGCCCAGATGCAACTCTTTTCAAATGGCCGATATTTTTACTATGGTTATAGAAAAAATAATTTTCTAAAATTCCTAATCTAGTGGATTTAAATTTCCCCTCCCTAATTATAGAATGAACAGCACCTCACATGTTTAGCAAGATAAAAATCTATTACAAAGGAGAGCAGTGAACAATTTCACTACCAAAATGGAGACCATGCTTACTACGGAGCTAAGAACAACACGAAGAAGCTTGTTCCCAGGGAAACACACATCGATTTACCCTATCACTACTGATTGGCTTAATGTAATCTGAAAATGGACTCCTAGATAGATCAATTTGCCGTGATTCATTCAGTAAAGCAAAACTGAGACTGACATCTAAAGCTACTCACAAAAAATGTTGCTCTAAAAGACAAAGAACTGCCTATTTTATTTTCAAACAAACTACATTTAATGCCTCCTATTGGTCTTTTATAAACAAAATACAAAATCACGGCAATGAGGTGATTTTTTACTTTCTATCCAACTTTACAAAGATAACCAGCAAAGGACCATGGGAGGAAGAGCAAGCTTTCTGCCTTGGCATCCCTCTGTCAAACCCCAGCACCTTTACCCTTTTTAGCACACCTCTGCCAGATGTATGGCCAGAATGGGTCCAGGAAGGAGGAATCTAGTTCTAACTGCTACCTGCACAGGACTACTGGATAGAGCAGGAGCATGTAGAAAGAGAGCCACTAGAATTTGTCACTGTGCAGACAATGCTTCTGCAATACAGTCCCCTAGATTGTATGACAGGAAGATGAAATGAAGCAAGTGTCTTCCTACTCCATCCCAGAGCCCAGGGTTGTTTTGATCCGAATTTGGAGGAGTATTCAGTGCATTTCAAGGGAAGCATTTCCAGCCACCTCCCCCCAGCTCCAGGGACAGTGGGAATTAAGTGGGAAGGCACCGAGGTAGGCAAATGGCTCTCAGAATTGCACAATGGAGTTTCCCCAGAGGAAGCCAGGGTGAGCAATGCAGCAGGAATTCACTTCAACAACCCCCTCCCTCCTACCCAAAAAAAAAAAAAAAAAACAGACTCAGATGCTGATAAGAATTCTTTTATGTTATTCCAATAAAAAATACATTCATACAGAAATATAACAATCTTGCAAAAAACAATTTCAAATAAAATCTTGTAAAACAAAATTTTACAAAAATCTTACAAAGATTCTTTAGATAACAGGGTGCTTCCAAAAAAAAAAAAAAAAACATAAAACAACAAAAAGAAATTTCACTAATAGAAATTTTTGTTTTTAATTTCAAGCAAAAAGTTTCTGCTTGATTGAGGCTCAGTTATCACCTGAACAGAATGTACTTCTTTATGTACTTGCTTATTATGAAAATTACAGGCATTGACATATATGGCACCCAGCCCCACCCTGTCAAACAACTCTGATGGTGTTTCATAAGTGAGACAAGCCAGTGCAAGTTTCTTTTTGTCTTTTGTTTACCTTCTTGCTTAATGGAATTGTTATGGCTAAGCACACAGCAGGGCCAAAAAAGGAGTTTTCCAAAACCCAGCAAATCAAATGCTTGGGTTTTGAACTGCCAAATGAAAAGTGCATTTCCCCCCTAAGCAAAATGAAAGAAGTTTTTAGGTAAATGTATTCATCAGCCCAGATAAAACCAGTTATGTGAGCTTTAAGTACTGCTCATTTCCAGGAAGAGAAAACAAAATACCAGCCCAGCCGGACTCATTCGTGTGTGTGTGTGTGTGTGTGTGTGTGTGTGTGTGTGTGTGTATACACAAAAAGAAAAGATCCACACCCACAGGCTAGCAGCTGGAAGGAACATCAGCTGTCAGTGCTGTGGTATGCCAATTCGGGGAAATTACTCCTTGGAGAAAATGGGAGAATCTACATGCTGGAAAAAAATAGTTTCATCTGCATAAAAAGTGTTCTAAAAAAGAATCCCTGTAATTAGCTTACTCTTAGGTTAGATCTTCTAATAAGGCTGAAATTCAAATCAAAACCTTGGTGTGTCTGAGTCCAATTGGTGTGCTGGTATTCTGTTCTTGCTTCTTGTGAATGGCCAAAGGTAGTCAATTCCAGCCTCGCTGACAGTGGTAAGCAAAGTCAGCAGTTTGGAATAGATTCAATGCCAAGAGAGTCTTCAGCAAATCTTTAAATTAAAGATAAAGCCTCTATAAAAGTTAGGTTATAGTTTTCATTTTTACCTCCTTTATGGCCATTTTGAAATATTTCTTCACAGGCTGTAGAATTTTCTAGCTAAACATTCTAGTTTCTTCTTAAAAAAAATATTTATATATTATCTATATATATATATAACATATATATATATATATATATACACACATACACATACTATACACACAGATATACATACACAAGAATTCTGCCCACTTTTTTTAAAAAAAGTAGCATACTTTCTGCATTACCAACAGATAGCTAGATAGATATGTGAAACTTGTGCCTTTTAAGCAAATACATTGACATTTTTTTATACTTCTGTATCTTTAATATGTGTGAAAACATTACATATTAAATACAGCCGGTGTGTAATCTATACAATTGTTGTGCAAGGTCTATGTGAAAGTCTTGAGGTGGCAGAATTGGTCAGGTTTTTCAATTAGCATGAGTTTTTAAGTTTTTCTTTTTTTTCCATTTTAACACTGACGGTCAAGTTGTCTAAAATATTGAACAAATACTGACATGTCAAGAGAGTTCGCATCTATTTGTCTTTGTGAAGGAGGACCTTAAAAGAGGTTTATTATTTTTTTTCTTTTTTCCCTATTATACATTGATACAGTACACTGCCAGGTGAAGAAAGAGCCGTAATAAAGCATGCGTCACCCACACCCCTGTATGAGACCCCTACATAAGGGGTCACTTGCATAAGGCACCATTATGAAGGTCAACAGTGCATTAACAGCTAGAAAACCAGAATGAGTCCTCAAGGCATAAATAAGAGAAACACAGCTGCATGGGAAAAGTTTCCAAGCTTTAGTGGTTCTATCCACCCATCTAAGAAAAATTGTAGATTCTCAGCCTAATGTAACATTAGACCAGCAATTTCCAGCCCCAGCCTTTAGACAACTGATACATGTCCAGTTTCTTCAAAGGGCATCATAAAATTTTCCAAAAAGTTAATTCAAATTCAGAATCATTTAAAAAATAATCCTCAGCTGCACAACACCTTTTTGGAAGGGGAGTGTTATAAAATAGAAAGGGGAAAATCATGTCTTGCCAGGCCCAGGTAGCCAGGGATCACTGTACTAGACAAATTGTATCTGAGCTGCTTGTTATTTGAAATTGAGATTGCAGTCCGGATTTAAAAATGGAAAAGCATATAGTTCCCCAGACCATGCATGACTTTTTGTATTATAAGGAAAAAATCATCATTGCGTTATATTTGTAAATACAGCTTATACAATGGGTTACAAATGAGCTCTGTTGTAGCAAGTAAAACAAGCTACTTGACACATTGCACATTTAATAGCTGCACCAGACACCATAAGTTCCTCTCACACAGGAAGGGGGACAGGGCTCCCCCTGCTCATACCACCCTCTGCTCCGGGGTCCTGAGTTCCCACTCCCACCCTCCAAGATTTTCCTCCTCCTTCTTCTTCTTTTTTTTTTGTTTTTTTTTTTTGTTTTTTTTTTCTTTGTTTGTTTTTTGTTTTTTTTTCTAAGGTGCAGACACCCCCCAGGAAATGATTGGTGGTCGTCTCATCTCATGGTATACTCCTTACACACAAAACATTCAAACAACTTTTTGTTTCCATCTCTTGCAGTTTTGCTACTACAAGGGGAAAAAAAGTCTGCCTCATCATACAGTCAGTAATAGATCCTCAACATACAGTCAACCCAACCATTAACATTCTCAGTGCGCATGCTCACAGCAAAGGCTCAGGAGCCTCTCAGAAGGTTAGGTACCAGTGGCGAGTCCAGGGTCACCCAAACACCATGCACCATGGGTGCTATGCTGCTTCTTACATGACTTTTTTAGCCCTCAAAAGACCTTCAAAAGAGAGGCCCTGGAGGCAACTGGATAGGTGCAAAATGGCATGCTTTGGCTGGAACACGCATCCCTCCTTCCACGGCCTTCTCTCAGCCTGGAAGCCTTTTAGCCTACAGGAATCACCCCTCTGCTCCCTCAGAGGTGCCTCTTCATGTGCAGGGCCAGGTGGTCAGACCTGGAGAAACACCTGCAGGGTAAATCAGAAGCAAAAAAGTTAGGTTTCCTCCCTGGCTGTGTTATATACCAAAGGCCTCACTCACTCTCCTGTACTATCCAACCTGACTCCTCTGGAAGGAAAGGTGGGATGGCCTCCAAGTTCAGGGATAGGAAACCCTAACTTTCAGGAAGGCAAACTAAGAAGGTCTCCAATCTTGGAAAATCTGAACTAACCTCATTTCTAATTCTTTAAAGTTGAAAACTGTTGTAGGCCAATTCTTAAGAATACATGAAGTCACTCTGGGCTCACATACACCTAGTACAGGCTTCCTAACATGGACTGTTCGCAGACTAGGGGCTTTCTAAAGAGCCTCAGGCTTAAAAAGAAATGTCAACCAATGGCAGGAAACTGTGGGCTTCCTTCAGAGGTCTAGGAACACCCACCCTGCTCTGGTCATGGCACTCACACAGCCCTCATGCACGTACCTGTCACAGTGAGAGCATTTAAAAGGCTTGGCACCGGTGTGCTTTCGGAAGTGTCTGGTTAACTCATCACTTCTTGCAAAACGCCACTCACACCCTTCCCATGAGCATCTGTAAGGCTTTTCTCCTGGGAAGAGAGCACATGACAAGCGCRCCATGACTTCACTGACACGCTGAGGGGAGAGGCATTCGACAACACATGTGGTGGCGGGAGGAAAGCTCAGAGTCCCTGGGCCCTCAATTAGGGACCATACCTGGAGCTCTAAAGGGAACAAGCAGAATTTTTTCCTGACCTAGCCTAGGCTTCTAACTGTTGTTTCAGGGACCCAGGTTTGGCCAAGGCCATGCTAGCAAAATCCAAGTCAACATATAACAATGACAATTACTCAGGCTGGTGAAATACTTGGGAGGTGAGGTGTCAGCCCACTGGTTCCACAGCCTTGTGCAGGGCAGAGTTTTATTGCTTTCTCCATGGAAACTGTTTCCCTCCAGCACTATTTTGTTCCTTACTCACTTCCCCATGGAATGAGTCTCTGTAGTTTCCTCTGGGACCTTCTATAGTCTACAACACTGAAGTCATGAGTTTCTGGAAAATCTCATTCCAAGGCTTCCAAATCACTTTCTAAATGGCAATCAAAGTTGACTTCATTGCCTGGTCAAATTATAAATATTAGTTCAATAAAAGTGCTGAGAATAAAAAAAAAAAGAAAAAGAAAAAGAAAAAGAAAGCTAAAGTCCATTTGGGACAGATTCCTCATGTCCCCTTCTTATCTCTGTCAATAAGCCGGATTTTCAAGACCCTGATTTCATCTCCCAGCAATTTGCTCTCCTGTTGGTAAGATAAGAATTCATAGCACTAGAACATTCTCAGCTCAAAATTATCTGTGACTCTTCACCAGTGACCCTAAATATCCTCAAGGTATTTGAGACCTTTCATCTAAGTTGTGGGGTTTCATTAAGAAGTCACTGTTGAGCTAAGGGGTATCAGAAAACAAAGGCTGTATGACACAAAGATATTCTCAATAAACACCACTGATCAATACTGGTGCTTCCAGAACACATGGGTATCACTCAGATCTCACACCATCACCATCAATACTAATTCACTCCACGTTGCCCGGGGACCCTCTGTCCTGTTCCTGGAATTTCATTTAAAAAATGAGGAGCAACCCAACATAGCATGTACACTGGTACAATGAGCACCATGGACCTTGACCAACTGGATTTCTGAATGGGTGGAGGTGTCCATGGAAAATACCGACTAGCCTCTTGTTTTGCTTAATCTGAAAGTATTAACCATTCATCTGATTCCATTGTCCATCCTGTAAGATTATACTCTGAACTCCAAAGAGACCCAAGTCTTTGGTGACCAGAATTTAGGAAGTGAGGATTTGTTTGATGAGACTTGGCTCCCTCCCAGGGCTGGTGAAATTCAGTGGCGCCCCACAGCGGCCGACCTCCCAGGTCCCATGAGGGGACTGACCTGTGTGAGTACGCTGGTGTGCTTTCAAGTGGGAGCTTTTGGTGTAAACTTTTCTGCAGCCGTTAAAGTGGCATCGATGTACCCTCCTCCTGCCGTCTGGAGAGGCGTCGCCACTACCCTTGTCACCCGGCTTCCCCGAAGTCCCACTGCGCACCTTCCCTGGTGAAGGTAGCTCTCCAGGCACACAACCCCACAGTTGAGAAGGTTCTCTGCTCAGTTCTGGAGAAGAAGGAGGCGTGGACGTTACAGAGGAGCTCAAATTTCCTGAATTGACCAAGACTTCGCTGATGGGGTCAGAGGTGAACTTGGTAGTGGGTGAAAGTTCCTCTGAGCTGTCAGATGATTCGCTGCTGACATCTGAGTTGAGGCTGTTGGTCTCTAAGTTGTAACTGAAGCTGGGGCTGATCAGAGTGTCCTCCGGGGGGCTAGAAGAAATCTTCAGTTCTGATTCCTCCTTTTTCTCCCGAGCCAGAATGATTTTGGTCCACAGATCTTCCTGGCTGTCAAATTTGATTTCTGAGGCTGAAACATAGCAGGGCTCACTCTGGAGGTAACGTTCCAACTCCAGGCAGGTCTGTGCAAAATGAATGGAAAAAAGGCACGTGATTGATAAGGCTACCAAGACTGGAACCAAAAGCACATTTGCAAAACATGCAAGAACAAAGGACAGGTAAACTTTGGCAGTGTCACTCACTATGAGCAGAACACCTTCTGTAATCAGAATCTGTGACCTTATGAAAGTTAGAGGAAATTCATTTCTAGGAATGGCAACAATCAGAAGGAAATGCAGAGGGTGAAACCTCTCTAGGCTTCCCCAATGCTGGACCAACGGCCACAGGAGTGATGATCACTAAGCCTGTTTTGTTGTTATAGTTACAAGTGTTGACATTTCTAATGAGTCTCCCAGTAAACCACACAAAGAAAATCAGCCACACATCCCCCCCCAACAGGTTTAACCAGATTCTCTTGACATTCTCAAGAACCATGTGTGCTAAGGAAAGCCCCAGCCATCCACCGTTCACACGCCACAAGTATCCACACAAGACAGAAAAGACTGCACAGTACATAGGATGTTCTGATGGACCCCCTTAGGGACACAGCTGACAACACAGGGCCACACTCAAGAAAGGAGACAGCAACTAGCTGTCTGCATTCAGGGACATCAATGGAGTTGCAGAGAAACCACCCATTTCCTGTGTAGCAGAGACCTAGTATGTTTTCAAAGAATGCCATTCCCAAATGCAGGGCCATGTATTCCACAAAACTTTAATTACTTCTACAGTGGTCAGAGGGAAACAAGAGACTTCAGCAACAGGAGTGGAGGAATAATTCCAGAATGGCCATCTGCTATTGTAAAGGATGCAAGGGGGAAATTACTCCACGGCCCTGCTGGGAGTCCCACAATGAACAAGAACTTTATCTACTGGCCAAGAGTACAACTGTATGAGTCATCACTCCTATTTCTTTCACGCAATGCCAAAGGAGACTTCCTTTTGAAATTCTGACCAGCAGCCAAATAAGGGCCCGGTTCAAATATACATGCAGTGTGTCATGGACAGGGTGCCCCTCCCCAGCCCCACAACCAACCTTTCAAGAAGCTACAACTGCCGAGATCAGCATCCCCTCTCCCCACCATTTCAAACTTTCTAGCCACTGGAAAAGAAAAATGGTAGGAAACATTTTAGGATTAAATTATGTCTGCCCTGATTTTCACTAGGTTGCCTGCATGGCCATATAAGGTTGTCTGTGCTACTGGCAAGTCTACAGATTTAAATTTTGACACCAAACTGCTCTTTACAACAAATCATTTTGGGGACACGGGCCATCCTGAGCACAGGCTACTCAAAGGCTCCAGCTTACTTAGTGATATACCTCCTGTCATGATAATATGTACATTCTTCCCCCTCCCCGAAGACTCTTCATGCAGCAAGCATGAGCAAGCCGGGAGTGGGGGGGGGGGCATTGTTTTCTCTTTCTCTTTTCCCCTAAAATTAGGTGTCTGAGTTGCAATGCATACTATGGTGTTCTGAAGAGAGGCGGCGATACATTTTATTGTTGTTCCAAAGAAAAAGAAAAGCACATTTATTGAGATCTTGTTAAACTTTAATAATCTAGCCAATTTAAAATCTCCATTATGCCGATGAGCACCAGAGACCTGAAGGAAGCTCTCTGAGAGTTTAAAAGCCTCTGAAGGCCACCAGGAGCCAAGTCTGGCTTGTTGCCCAAATCCCAAATGCCCGAAGGAAACTACTTAGATCAATTTCAATCACGTCCTAGGGAGCAGCTTCTTTGAGGAGGAAAAAGGGGGGAGGGGGACAAGGGAAAAGGAGGCAGGAGAGGATCGGGAACAATTAAGCAGGCATGAGAAGGGTGCAAAGCTTTGCATTTCATCCTTCTTCAAAGCTTTCTAGGCTTTGAAATCCACAGAATACATTTGATCTGCTAATTCACTTCGTGACAAAAAACAAACAGCACAGCAGGGCAGAGAGGCAACACCAAACCCTCTTTCTATCTTTTTAAAAACAATGGGTCAAGTGTTAGAGGCTCTCATCCCTCAAGCAATCCTAAGAATCAGAACGGGAAAATATTAAGTTTCTCYAATTTCCCATGCCCAAATTTCCCATCCACCAAAATGCCGGAAACCGAGGCTCTTCCCAAACTAAGACTTGAAGCAACTAGGACGGGCTCATTGTCATATGACTGACAAGTCACTGGTGTGCAAACAGCACCCCCCCTCTTCCCTTGGTAAACAAGAGAAGCAGGTAAGAAAAATAAGGCAGACCTAGGCAAATGTTAAGAAATCCAAAGAGGGAAAAGAAACTGAAAATAGCCTAGAGGGAGGGGAAAAAAACCTGGTCTACGTTTCGCTGGCAAAATTTTAGATTTAAAAAACTGTATGTACAAACACTATAAAGCAAAACAAAAACAAAATCCCTTTCCCAAAAAAAAAATCCCTTGGCAGTCAAGACAAGTTCGTTCATATGACAAGGTCCAGCTGTGGAGTTTGGACCTGGTACAAGCCCCAAACTTGTGCCAAGGGCTCGGGCCGGGATGAGGCCGAGGAGTTTGGGTTTCCCCTCGGGTGGATGCTGTTCAGAAGCTCCGGAACGGGCAAAAACACTRGGAACAACGAAGCGCGGCTCCGCTCTACTCAAATGACAACTCTGCTCCACGCTGGACAAGGCCCATTTTAGAGCGCCTTCCACACCGGAGGCAGCAGAAGGTCATTTTAAGATAATTATTTTAATTTAAAAAAATTTACACTAACAATAATAATAATCATAAAAAGATGCACTTCCAAGCACACACCATCTTGCCTGTGCCTCCGCGCACTCCCTCCTCGGCGCACCGGGCACGTGAAAATCTCTATTTACCTGTTGCCAATATTCCTCCAGGGACGGCAGAGCCGAGAAGTAGCCCGTTTCGTGCACAATCTGGAGTTCCTGGAAGATGCTGCACATTGGGAGCACATCCATGTCGGTTTGGAAAAGACAGTCCCCGCTGTCGGGAAAACAGGGAGGTGTGCGGTCTGGAGTCGGAGCCGAAACTCTCCCCGCGAGCGCAGGTGAAAGTTTCATGCAAACTCAATGGCACGGCAATCAGACGCCCGGTCCGGACCCTCCCGCAGCCCGCAGCGCGCGGAGCCCACACAATATTTGCAAACACCGGACTGACTGCAAACGTAACCCCTGCAAAACTTCCCTATTCAAAGCTCCGCTGCCAGCCACCCCCCTCCTCCCCCGCCTGGCTCCCCCCACTCCTCCTCCCCCCACGTGACTAGCCCCGCGCCCGCCCCGCGCGCTACCCAATCCCGCCGCGCCCGGCCCGGGGGCTGCGCGCAGATGATGTCAGCTCGGACCAATCGCGGGTGGTGACACACAGCGGCCCCGCCTGGCGTGACCGAGCCTCTCCATCACAGCCCTCTCCATTGGCTCAATTCGAACTCTGCCGGCTCTGATTGGAAAGGGGCCTCGCAGGCTATTTTTAGCAGGGTATATAAGGCGCCGGCCGCCTCGCGCCGAAGGAGTCGGCGCTGGGAGGTGCGCGGCAGAGCGCTGCAGTCCCGCAACCGGGGCTAGGGCGGCCGGGCCGGGGAACCCGGCCGGCCAGCGTCACCAGTTCGGTCGCCCGGCCGAGTCCTACGGTCCGGGTCACCCGACCAGGACCTGCCACCGCGCGAGTCCGTGTTCCGGCAAAGTACCCCTGCAGTCACGCCGCTTTCGGCCAGCTGCCCGGTCCCCTACTTCCCGCCGCCCTGTCCTTCTCCATCCCACTGATCCCCTCGGTACTCAGGGCTGTGGCGTTCCTTGTGTTCTCGGGGCCATCCAGTCTTCCTCTGCCCCCCTTCTTCCCTCTCTGTCCTCCTCTGTCCCCTCCATCCCTCGGCATGACCCGTGGGAGGGACACACAGGCCAGTGGGCCCGGGCCCTACAGGTGTGGTGAGGGGTCGGACGGTAGGGCAGGGCAGATGGGACCTTGGGCGCAAAGAGCCCCATTACCCTAGGATCTGGGGCCAGGGTTCCGTGGAACCGCATCCCCTGGGTTCCTTTTTTGTCTGCTCTCATGCTCAAGCTTAGGGGACACCCCTGAGTACCCGGAGGTATAGTACTTGCCTGGCCTGCGGGAAAGGCAAGGAAATTCTGAAATTCTGTGAACCAAAATTTGCCTCTAAATATGTTAGAAGTATAATTTTTAAGGTTCCACCCCCAAACTACGGATTTTTAACAAGCTCCCCACAATATTCTGTTGCTAGTTAAAGTTTGAAAACCAGGGATCAGTAAGTTGTTTTTCTTGGTACTTGTGGAATAACTCAGATTCTAAGAAAAGACTGTCCTCTGCTTCTAATTGGGAGAAGTTTGTTTATCTTGTGGAAGGCACCCTCCTCACCAAGCTTTAACAAGGAGGGTTTCCCATGAATGTGTAAACAATTTCGGTAAAGTTGAGACTTTCAATGTGGTTTCTTTTTCTTTTCTTTCTTTCTGACTTTTTAAAAAATATATATATTGTCCCCTGAAATTTAATATTCATTTTCAAGAACAATTCCCAAAACATGAAGGATGGACATTTCAAAATGAAATTTCAACTCAAAATGAAATTCAAAAATTCAAAATGAAAAACAATTGTGACTACTTTTATAGTTTTCATTTAAAAAGTAGTGTTTAGTGGACACCATTTTTTAAACATTTTAAAATATATATGATAATTTTAGAGGACTTTCTATATTTAATTTTAGAAGATTAGAGCAGACTCATGGCAGGATTATGAGCACATAAGGTTCTAGTCAGGGACCTTTGTGAATCAAGTTCTGTAAAATTATTATTTTATTGTACCTATTACATATGATCTGTGAAGAAGATGACCTGTGTCCATCATATTTATCCTAGCAACAAAGGGACATGTACCTAGTCCATGTCCAAGAAGGAAAAATGGAAATGGATTTTCTTTAAACAGTCCACAAATTGAACCAACCTTTCAGTAACCAGCAACTGGTAGCCTTTGGTAAATTGTTATTCTGGGATCTGGTTTTCTCTGTCATTATCAGCAAGCTTGGCCCTTGTATTACCAAAAGAAGCAAGAATCAGGTCAAATCTTGAATGACACCAGACAAGGTAGAACTCATGAAAGGTGAAGGGAAGAGATGTTGACCAAGTCAGGGAAACCTTAAGAGGGTCAGTGTCCTGTGTTAGTTAAGGCTCTCTGGGAGTCCTTTAAAGTATTATAGTAACATTGTCCAAACTTAGCTTGTGGACAGGAGTTATTGTTTTAATAAGTGTCTTTGTATACATTCCTATAGAATGTAAAATTGTGCTTGTCTTTTACATATACTTCCTGTCACCTAGAAGATGGTATAGTTTATTTTTTTATAAGAGTGTACCTAATTGGAGGTAATACATATGCAATCAAAATCTAATTTTTAGGAAAAAAAATTTAAAAATGTAAAAATGGAGCACATAGACCGAATTTCAAATAGAATGAATTCTTTGACTTCCTGGTGCACTCATTAGCCATTGGGAACACATTATTCATATCCTGTTACATGGCCACATATCAGTATATATACATTTACAAAATAGGCAAAAGTCCCTGTAATGGTTGGGGGAGGAGACAGGAGGTCATAGCTTAAAAGAAAGGCATTTCCACTAATACTAAGCAGGTAGCTCTTGGATGGGAAAATATCATTCGTTTTGTATGTGAAAAAGAATACACATGAGAGCTGAAGGATGCTAGTTATGTCTAGTTGTTCAAAAGAGCAACAAAGAGTCAGGAGCCAGATTCATTCAGAGGAGAAAATATGTTCTGGAATAAAAAGATAAACTTTATACTCTAGCTTTCCATATAGCATGTGAGACTTTGGCCACATTATTTAAATAGGAAAATTTTTTTAAATGGTAGTTTTGTTGTTGTTGTTGTTGTTTTCAGTTTGATATAATTAGAAGAGAATGTATTAAAATACTTAGTCTGGGGGCTGGGGATGTGGCTCAAGCGGTAGCGCGCTGGCCTGGCATGCCTGAGGCCCGGGTTCGATCCTCAGCATCACATACAAAGATGTTGTGTCCGCCGAAAACTAAAAAATAAATATTAAAAAGAAAAATTCTCTCTCTCTCTCTCT